AATAACAAAGTACGAAGTAATCGAAACGCTAACAGCAACAAGAGCACACCGACATAATTTCACAATCGAAAAGCATATTCCGGTAATGTGTGTCAACCAATCAAAGGTAATCAAATAAACATCAATCCTCAAAAGTATCATCCAACAAGCAGGTCCAGCCACGCTAATCGCCCTCCACAGCCAGGTCGTCAACATCCTCTTCTGAAATCGGATTCTTCACGTCTACCTTTAGCTTTACCTCCCCATCCATATAAATACAAAGGATATCTCTCAGTAACCGAGCGTCGCGAAGATCGATAGCGCGCCTCCAGCTGCGAACATTCTGTCCGACGAGTATCAGCTCATGTGCACGCAACCAAGTTTCCAAAACCAATAACCGGGGGGTCTCTCCGTAATCTTGTTTCTCCACTGCTTGCATTAGAGCCAGCATAAAAGAGTCTCTCAGTCTCCGGACAGAATAGGAGAAATAATTTTCTCCATATTGATGGAGGGTATCAAAAAGCAGAGTCAAAATTGCGGCAGATGCTTCGGAATTCTCCAAACCACAATAAAAGAGGGCATCTGGTGAAACGGCGTGTAATATCATAGGAACACATCGCCGTGGCACCGTGATGGACAACACGATTTGAAGAACACGCATTGCGAGTGCGGTTGGGCTAAATAATGCAATATTGACAGCATGGTGGATCGATAGTGGCATATTGACCCAACCATGTCTGGCAAGAACCCTCAGAATTTGGCAATCTTGGTTCCGAATTGCCGACCATGAGAGTCCGGCGAAAGGGTTGTCAAGATGATTTAACAGTTCTACTACCTCCGTCGGGTTCAAGTCCTCACAGTATTGTGGTAATTTCCGCAAATCTTGTATGTCCGAATCAAAACAGTGCCACCGATCGACGAAAAAGGACCATTGAAACCACCGACTTGAGGGTGAGCCTTCTTGAGCTTTGTTGGAGTCAAAATTATAGAATCGTATTCGACGTTGATGCTGTTCCTCTCGCAGTAGACCCGCGATATGCGGCATATCAAGGAAGACGGTTAGGATCGACGGCCAATTCCTACGTGGTCCTATATTTCGGCCAGATTGTATTATTAACCTAGCAATGAAGAGTCTAGCTTGGCTAAAGTCCATCTGCCGAACGCGAATGTCGAGGTGTCTCCAGACGTAGTCACCTACTCCTTTACAGGTGAGTAACATGTTGATAAGCCATATGATGTCTAGGTATGAGAAAATAGCGTCTAATAGTTCAGGCGGTAGCTGAAATATCTTTCTACAAACATTTTTCGGATGTCATTGGATTGTGTCTTGCTTCGTGATGCGGATATTCACTCACGGTGTTTCCAATTCGACGTTCATATTTCCTTGAATTGTAACTGGTATCGGCCTGCTACATGTCGTAGAGGGGAGTTATTAGTGACGGTAATCTTAACGCATCAAGAATCACGAACAGAACTCTTTCTAACCGTCCCCGGCGGGCAATAGCACACTCCTGATTCATATAAGGCATGACTCCAGAAAAATAGGCCGGTAGCAATATTTTAACTGATAAAGCAACGATAAATGTAATGCGGGATAAGTATGAGAATTCAAAGTCTAAAAATATGTCGGTCCAACTATTCTCAGAGATCTGTTAGCGGCGAATAATGTGATAGGTGTATAATCAAACCCACAAAAACTGTCGCTGTGGGCCAACTCATACACTTGGGTGGTAATGAAGGTAGTTGGGATGTTCTAGAGTGGTAGCAGGAGGGTAGGTGGTAGGTAGCAAGTAAAATCATAGACGTGAGTTGTCCGAGCTTACCAAGCATTTTGCAATAGAGCTATACACTTACATCTACAACTTGTAACTCACGAAGTATACATCACCTCACTCTCGAGCTACCGGTTCTTTTGTTTTCTCTAAGGACCTTCGTAATACAATAACCTCCTTGCCTCATTTTCAGAGGAAGCTAACCCGACTATAGATATATCCTTCTCTGATACGGAGGCCTAGGCTTCGGGATGTGAGTAGTGTTTCGTGTGATCTGTTTATGTTGAGGCGTTTAAGGATGGATTGCAACTGATCTTGCTTAGAAGTTCACCCTCTTAACACATTTGCTACTGGGCTCCACTATCTGACCCTTGTTCGAGGACTACTAGCTTCTTTTAAGATAGCAAGATAGTTTGGTTCTTCTCCGACGCAGGATACACGACCTTTATTGGCACTACAAACCCAACATCTTGCTGGTGTGGCTCATTGCGGATAACGATCCCTCTGTGGTTGATAACTGACTTCGGTTATGAAGATAGTTCTCGAACGGTTTCACTTATCAGTCAAATTTCGAAAATTCTACAGCCGTACATATTGCTCCTCAATAATTTTCTATTTGACGTTGACATCAAAACCCTACACTTCAGCATCTGGAACCGCCCATTTGAAAAATTAGTGTGCTACATCCACTGAGCAAAACAGATGCAATTTTGGTGGTGGTACGGCTTGTTTCAGAAGCTTTCGATGAAATATGAACTAAATAATATTCTCACAGCTCTAATAACCTATTCACTAGTCACCATCTCCAATACGTCTCTCGTCGTCTTCTAACAGAGCCACCACTTTCGGGGAACATTCCACAATGTCAGAGGCAGAGTACACTCAGTACATTGGGTACAGTCAGTTCAATGAACACTATCAGTACAGCCATTACTATAAGTGCCCAAGCAAAGGTTGCTGGGCCACAAACCCCAACGGCTGTAATTTGCCCGGTTGCAGACACTCTTTCCGGCTTTGCCTCAAGTGCAGTATATGTACCGCTACTAGGGAAGCACAGTGTCACAAGTGCCTGAGCTACAATGTGACTGCAACATTTTATGGAGATCACATTACCATACACTGTATGGAGCGAAAATGCAGAGAGAAATTTCGTTCCACAGCGTGTGGCCTTTGTGGGGGGAGAATAGTCTTCGCACTAATTGTCTGCGGCAAATTATGCAGAACTCTTTATTCACAGCAGTATATATGCGATGTTCACCAACGACCATTAGAGCCGCCGATTCCTTCTAACGATATCCCTAGACTTCTCAGTATAGCGCCAAATGAAATTATACACAGGATGATCCAAATAGTGCTGGATGGAAAACCCGATACACGCCTAGGGCTACTGAAGCGCGCAGGGCTCGAGCACTTGATTTGGGAACCAATCAGTACTGAGCACCGGCTTCGGCACGATATTGGTGCAGCCCGTAGACAGATGTGGAAAGCAGATGAAAAGCTTGAGACCAAAGAGGCCCAGATAGAGAGTTTAATGATAGATATCCAGAGGTTGAAGAGGTATCTTATGAATAAAGGCACTTCCCTAGACAGTAACTGGAACGGCATTGATACCAACACCTTTGTTACGGAAAACTCTGGGCCACAAATTTAACTCCGAGACCTCCAGAGACAAGGGAACCTCTGTTCCACTGCCCTTCGCACATTTATTGGGATCTAAATTAATGGAGTGTCAAGCATGAGATTTCTGTGCTTTTAGGAAGATGTAAAAATGATGTATGGAGGTTTTATTTGAGGCTTCACAGCGGTGTTAGTTTCATTTTGCTTTTGGAATTATTGTGTATTTTGCAGCCTTAAGCGGATACTTGGGGGTCTCCAAGTGTTAAAGATATTTTGTATTTGTATATATGAATTGTCAGTAGTTGGTATTCAGGGCTTTATTCGCCGGGGAGAATCAGCCTGAGTTTTTATGGAATTGTGGGGCTTTTAATTGTTTGAGAGTTTATGGTTAGAACATGAATCTAAATCTCGTTGATGGATTGCAACTAGGAAAAGTAGACCATGGATTGTGAATGATGCCGAAGAATAGATTATAACCAGCACCACCAGCTTCACTCGACTCCCAGCTACAGTTGACTCCATCCTCTCGAATGCACTCGACTCCATACTGCCAACTGTGCTTGATGCTCGATACCATGCTCACAGCTGCACTCACTTGACAAGCTCTAAATGGAGCGGAAGCTGGGGTGGAGATAGAGGTGGAGGTTTTGGTGGGAGAGGAGGAGGCATCCAAACTCCTCATCATCAGGGAGTCATCTACTTAAATAGTGGCACACATAAATTGATTAACGAGATTTCCACTATCCCTATCTAATACCTAGCGAAATCACAGCCAAAGGAATGGGCTTGGTAGAATCAGCGGGGAAAGAAGACCCTGATTTCAGCAAACATAAACCCGTACGAAGTGGCTGCCCATCACCAGCAAGGAATGGTACTGGTACGGATTTGCTCGAAGTGTTGCTTGGATTTTCGGGTGTGGTGGGAGATCCTCGACGCTTTTCTCCTTGGTCGCTTCATCCCTTCCCCTTTGGCAAGGTCTTTCCATAGCATATCTGTCAAGGCGGTTTTGAGTAGCCTAGTGGAGTATGTTTGTCTTCCTATCCGATTACTGTGGGTGCTGATGCATAGTGAAGTGCATGGTTGGCTTCTCAGTGGTATGAGTGATAGCTTTGGAATCTTGGCCTTGGGGGCGTAGTACACTTGTATGCGTCTGGCAGGGGTAAATGCGTGGAAGTTCTTTTGGGAATTGGAGATATGAGGATATTGACGCCTGTGTGAGTAGAGATGTCGGATTTTTTTAATATCTGTAGACCGACCTGCATATTGTTGAGTTTTATACAAGCCGGTGTATATCATTCAATGCCCACTAAAAGCCCGAAGACCTCGTGGTAAGCCTTCCGACGGCAAAGCCTATGCAGATCTCACAACTTGCAAGGTCTTGTCTTTCAGGCCTGAATCCTGTGTCCTCCTCAAATGAAGATCTGGTCCGCTTCATTCTGGCCCGTCCACTCTAGAACACGTTTTGAGTAGTGGCAATCACCGTTATGTAATCCTTACACTAAGAAGCTCTATTAACCTCTCATCAAAGGGATTATCATGTTGTGTTGCATTGTATTGCGTTGTACTGTCCGTTCACTTACCAAAAGATGGGGTCTATGGGTTTATAATTTCGAAACCAGCGTTGTACACCGAGCCACTATGGTCTAGTGGTATAACCATCCGCTGAAGTAGGGTCTAGAACAATGACGAGTGGTTGCAGTTGGTTACACACTTTCAGCGGACGTCCGTGAGTTCGAATCTCACTGGTGCACCCTTCTTTTTAGTGTAGCAAGCTTATGCATCCACAAAGAAACGCATCCAAAACGAATCGTCAGCCAATGGATATGGATCATATATCTACATGTTTGTGCAAGCGTTGGTCCTAAATAGGACTGGCAGGATAGGTATTCCTCATCTCATAGATAAAGTCCATACTGGCTAATAAAGAAATAACCAAAACGCAAAAGTTAAATAGAAAAAATCCGATTCATGAGTAAAATAAGAACGAAAAGAATGTCTCTACCATATCCCCCCACCTTTCTCATCCCCAAACTTTCCAAAAACTGCTCCAATCGTTAGCATTGCCGTTAATCAATTAGCTCTGGTAACTTACTCTCTCTGTTCCACCCCCTCCACCACCATTAGCACAAACTTCTGCTTCTCCTCCTCCCCCTCCTCCTCCTCCCCCGCCTCTTTCTCCTTCGTCTCCTCCTCCTCCCCCCCCACAAACTCTACACCCCTCATTAGTACTCCTTGCTATTTAAAGCAGTGGATAAACTTTGCCACAAACCGAATTCACTCTCCTCCCAATCATTATCCCCTATCCTCGTGACGGTCCAAGAAAACTCCGTCGCCCCTGGCGATGTCGGATACCACAATGCACCGAGGCGACACTTCATGCCCTCAAATTTGGGCATGAAGTGTTCGCTCTGGGTGCATCCTTTGCCTATAAACACATTCTGTCAAAATATAGAAAAATAAGATGTGAGGGAAAAAAAGATATCCTTACAAGGACAAACCCCCTGGTAGGAGGCCCATGTGTTGTAAAAACACAGAGGGGACCTCCTTTCACCACCATTTGAGTGAGGGGTGATGTCGATGGGTCGTTGTGGCGGTGGGGTCAGCGGAGAGGCGGCTAGTACCCGAATGCTGTAGGGTGTGTGGCGGTGTTTAGAGCGTGATGATGTGGTATGTGGCATGTTATGAGGAAGGTGGATGGTATATGGGAAAGAGAACGAGAGGGGTTTAATAGTAAATATAAGGCCCTGGTGGGCGTGTGATTCCATCTGGTGGAGGTGGTTATCTTTGTTTGAAAGTTTATTGAGGCTAGCAGGTGCGATCAGTCTGGTAATTGAGGTTATTAATACTGAATGCTATCGTTAGGATTTTGGCCAGTGTCAATAACTGGAACACTTGTGACAATGAGGATCCGGCCATAGATCGATATGGCCCGAGGAGTAATGCGTTAATGATATGGTTGTCTTTGTGAAGGAGTTTTTGTAGTCGCGAACCTGCCCGGCCAAAGAGGTTGTTCTGGTTGCGATTAATGTTGGATGTGCACCAAAGTTGAAGTTGGGATTTTGACCAGCGCCTGTGACTTAGTGACTTTATTGTCGGTTGTCTTGCACAGTGGTAAGCTTAAGGGCGTTAACATGATCCCCTTGACGATCTGGCCGTAGGTGTGATGTGGTCACATAGTGTAATGTGATGATGACATGGTTGTCTTTCTGCTGAAGTTTGCTGAATTGTGTCAATGAACGATAAAGTCTAGTCTCGGAGTGTTGTACACCGTCTGAGACCATAAAAAGTCTGTACTGGTTCTGATAACCTTTGGGACTGGCGCCTAGACATTGTTTCTTTACTGTCCTAAGTTAAGGTTCCTGGCAGCGATAATCGTTAGCAACGAGAATAAAATGTCAGTTATTGTAAGCTACAAAGCCGCGTAATGATGCAGATAAATCAATTGTAGAGAGCACCACATGACACAGAAATCGAGCAGTCGAGGGTCTAGAAGTAATCCAATCATGCTTTGACGTCGACACTCTTACATAGAGTCTTAGTTGGTTATATGTGTTGAGAGAAATTTTTAAAAGAATGGGAGATACCTTGTCTCGTCCCCATCCGGTAGCGCCAAGTCCAATTTTTCTCGTCGGAGAATGATGGGGTGCGAAGATGGCGGTTAGGGTTAGTCACCCAATCAAATTTGACGGCTGGGCTCGAGACAAGGAGATACCATAGGAGTAACTTAACCTACCGACCGAACGTGACAGCAAGAGATGCTAAGGAGTGTGCGTGACAAACACAATTGGCAATAAAAACTGAACGTTGAAGAAAACGCAGTGCAGCATTGTTCATGGTAGGGAACCAAAAAAGAGGGGGCAGAGGTGCTATGACTGAGTCTCGACCTCAGGGTACTTTTCAGCCATGGTTCTGCAATAATGGTTCGGGCGGAGACTACACTGTTGAGCCACACCACCTCCGCACGAAAACAAACGGAAAACGGAAGCATGAGGGAATGCCACCACCGTGGCGAGTGATGGAAACTGTACATCCTTACTACCCCCCCAATATCACCCGAACCCTACTGGTTACTAACTGCGAGTCTAGCTACAGTCCCCACATAGGCTATCGACACTTGGGTACTCCTTGTGACGCATACCATATTCCATGTATACGAACTTGAAACATTCGGTTTGGATGTACATACATCAATGACATTTCTTCATATTGATACAACTAGATTCAGCTACGTCGCTCACTCTGGTCCTGCAGCATTACTTGGTAATCGATGTGCGTCTCTTATAACCCGATCCAATTCCTTCATAACGACGAAGTAACCGTGAACAGTTTCAGGGCTGGAACCTTCATTCCCATGATATGAGGCTTAGCCTTGACTATACAACTCCACCGCTTTCCACCCCACCTCCGTCAGTGCAATGCGATTCACCTTAACAACTTCATATGACCTCAGCGAATAAAGAAGGTTACAACTCCTCCACTTTCTAGCCTACCAGCTGGAGTTTTATTTCGGGGTCTATTCCGGGCCATTCGAACTACGGGGGAAATTGCCGTTTGATATTATCATAAAAGAACGATATAGTCAAGGGCACCAGTATGCTACGCCACTCACCCCAATCCTCCAATTATCACCATCCATTAATCTCATTCACAGATTTCCTACAGACTCTCCACATGCCGATTGTTAAGGAAAATCAATATGGATTTTGTTAACCAGTCAGATTGCATGTGCATTGCTCATACCCTCCCATATGCACTGTGGATTAAACTTATTTCAATGTTGACATCGATTAGGTATTAAGCAAACGTCTCAAATCCTCCTAATCATCCATTCCTTACCTCTGAGTTACCCAAAGATTCAGAACCTAATTCGTGACAAGCTGTCATTGTTCTTCTAAACAATATCGAGCACTACTCCCAACTTCAGTAGTACTGCATAGTATCTGAAAGCTCCATACCTGCGGAAGAGCGAGGGGAAAAGGCTTCTCAAGTCTCCGCTGCTCGGTTTTGGTTTTACAGCACGTTATGGGATGTATTTGTGTTGACTGAGTTGGAAATACACCGTATTGTAAATGCAGGACAACTTATACGTCTTTCGGACGAAGTTATGGCGTAGGAATAGTAGATGTATGACATTTGTGTGTGTTTCTGCTCTCGTATCCAAAACTACGGTTTCTCTCACGCTTCTTCGCCGGCTTTCTGATGGCTAGCTTTCGAGCACAGCAACTTCTCTCGTCCGAACGGACTTGATATTCGTTGGATGTCTATGTGGAATTTGGACATTTGATATCCTAAGAAAGACGACGTTTCACAATACTATCGTACTTGAACTCTACAACCCTCGATTTTATCATGAAGTTCGCACAAGAACTATCTGAGTACGCACGAGTGAGGTAGGGTGACATGTAAATAAGGTGCGGCTCTACTTCAGGTGCGGCTCTATGGCCCAGCCACGGACATCGGTCCACTTAAATCTCCGTCCCGGAACAAATCGACCGAGACAGCTTCATACCATCCTCCGAACACTGGAACTCAGACCGACAAAACCTCACTAGAATCACTGTAATTTCGGCCTGAACTTAGCAGATGTCAGATTTTCCAGGATTTGGTCTATCACGACGAGCTTGGGCTCAAACCGAGGCATACCCCAGGTCCAAATGAAGAGCATGTACCTCCTGTATATTCAAGAATGTAAGGGTAACGCATTCCAACAGTTTCCAAGAGTTTATACTTACGGTGCCTGCGGTTCCACTGCAGTTGGAAAGGGGAAGAATGGCAAAGCTTTAATAACATATTTTGTCTTTTGCCTTTTGTTTGTTTTGTTTTATTCATACTGTATGCACTCTAACTAGAGTATGACAGAACCCTTATCTCCGCCTCCGGGCAAGCCGGCTAGAAAACGGAGTTCCTTATCCGCTACCCTTCATCCCCTTCACACTGGGGGGGGGGGGGGGGGGCAGGCACTGGGATTCGAACCCATAGCATTGTGGCCGTATATCTCGCCTCTATCTTCAGGAGCGATACCCGCCATGGGGCCAACCCCTATGTCTTTTGCCTTGGTGGCAGGGAGTACAACCGGTGTTCATCCACAATGACACACTTTACTTCAGAAGATTCAAGATTCGCGGACTTTATTCTCGGGATTACGCTCACGAGTGTTTGGTCCACCACGTCCTTCCTTGCTAGTGCTGATATTAATATATGTTCTACCCCACCGACCTAGTTTCCCACTTGACAAAGAGGGTAGCTTGATCGGTAGGGTGTTCTACTGGGCAAGATTCTTGTTGGTGGGTAGGATATTTCTTGGCTGGAAAGTAATGTACGTACTTTGCCAAAGCCTCATGTAATCACCCAATTCCATCGTGGGGTCGGCATAAGCGTAGCCTGCACCAGTCCTGAAGCCTCATTGGTCGGGATTGCGGATGTTTCGGCTATCTGGCGTGCTAATATAATATGTTTTTTTGTTTTATTCATACTGTATTCACTTTAACTAGAGTATGACAGAATATAATATATGTTCTATCGCACTGGCCAAGTTTCTCACTTGGCCAGTAGGATGCCCTGTTGACTAAGAGGATACCCCCTTGACCAAGAGGGCACCTTGGTCGGTTGGATACTTCTTGGTGGCAAAGTGGTGGTAGTGGTGGAGTCTGAAGCTACTAACCTGTAACAACTGCCTTGAAAGTTCAACCATCTATTTTTAGAATACATTTTATGCCTGCACTTTGTCATCCAATTTCCATTTCCCTATGT